TGGCCACGGCCGAGATGTCTCGGCCACACCCCAGATTGGCCACGGCCGAGATGTCTCGGCCACACCCCAGATTCGCAGGCACTACTCTTCACAGGCAAACGCGAAGTCTCAAGAGTAGCCTACTCCGAAGAAGTGGGGGGCTAAGGGCAGGGATGGAGGCCAAAAAAAAAAAAAAGAAAAAAAAAAAGTAAAGAAACGAGGAACTTGGAATCCACCTACGTCGCGAAGGCCCTCAGGTCACGGGTGCTTTGAGGAATGTATCTGGCCAGGAAGTGAGGAAAATGAAATAGGTCGATTTCCTTTTTTGTTTGGGGAAACTGCTCCTGGGTCACACTTTTAGTTCAAAACGGCAAGAAAAACACTAAATGGCAATGTCCTTGACGTCGAAGTTCAAAACAGCAAAAAAAACACTTAATGGCAACATGTAAAATAATGCGGGCCACTGTTATTATTGCCGTTTTGAACTACGCTCGGGACGGACCTGCGGACTACTGTTTTTTTTGCCCATTCAAAACATGGGTTGTGACCCACGAGCCGTTGCCTCTTTTTGTTTTTTGTTGTTAGGTCCCTGTAGCGCCCTGTTAGCCAGGCAGGGCGGATTCCACGCTTCATTGAGTTCCAGACAAGTACTGTAGCATACTGTACCGGACCGCAATCACAGCATAAGGGATGTTTTTGTTTTTTTGTTTTTTTTTTCTGCTGTTCGTGGATAGACGAGGGCCCTGACTGAACTGCATAGGGCCGAGTTTCAACTGCAATTGAAACTCGGGCCCTGACGAAACTGCTAAAACGCAGTTTCGAATGCAATTACAAACTGTTTTGGTGACTGCGCCGAAGTTACCCCTTATATATATATACAGAGAGAGAGAGAGAGAGAGAGAGAGAGAGAGAGAGAGAGAGAGCTCTGCGTGCAGCGACGGCCATCCCAGTTTGTAAACCCCGCTAAGTCCAGGGTATTTTCATTCCATCCCGGGACGATAGGCGGGTAAAGCCCACAGAAAACTGCGCCAGGTAGGGCCCGACGTGGGATGAAAATACCCCACGATCGTTTTTCTGGCCCCATTGTACCGGCCCCTTTTTTTTGGGCGTGCAAAACCAGAGAGGTTTCCTTTTAACAATGTGAGCTTTCCACCAATTATCCCTTGTTTCGATCTGTTGCTGGAAGAGACCCCAACCCTCGTGTACATCCGTTGGGAGTACCCCTTTTGTAAGTTATTGTCTCTTTATAGAGTAATGTTTTTTCTGAGTACTACTCAATTTGGGAAATAGTTTGTAGCGTCGACCACACCTTCTGGGTTTATAATCCTAGCATCTTCACCTGAATAGGACATCTGATCATTATCACTGGATGTGGACAGAAAGTTGCCCAAATACGGCTATAATGTGTGACCTTTTTCTTTTTTTTTAAAGAAAAAGATGCACGTTTGTCTTCTCCTCATATAGAGGGACAACTGCATTTTACTAATATAATGAGAGAAGAAAATGACATTTTTACCACTGCAAGGAAAATGAGCTATAGCGAACTTCAGAAACCAAGCAGCATCATTCACATGAGAGCAGATAGTCGTGAGTCGTGACCTCGAACCGAAAGCAGAATTGCAACACGAGTCCCACCAAATAAGAGCACAGCAAAAGCTCATCAGTGACAATGTTCGACTAGTCTCATCATCATCAACAAAGAACCAATGTCGACATCCTATCTGGCGCTCTGTGCCCAGACTATAGATGGCAGATCCTATCTAGCCTATCCACAATGCCGCTGGTGACGTCAACAGCTCCCCGAAGTACGAGCAGATCTCGACCAATGCCGTTCGCCTCAAGCACCAGCTATGTCTCTCGTATCACTCACAACCTCAATCCCGCACTCACAGATGCCATGTGCACCCAAGGACCACCATGTGCCCCATCCAGCATACAGCAGCGCAGCTCGGCTATGGCTGCCTGCTCCTTCCAGCTCGCCCATGAGCGTGTGAGCACTGGCCAGCGTATAGCGCAGCATGCAGCCAGTGCCCGAATGAGGAATGCGTGGGCAGGCACTTTCCTAAATGGAAATTGCCTGCCTGCTGCGTGAAGCCTGGATCCGCTGGGCCCCTGCCCGGAAGCTTCCGGTAGGCCCCGAGACGCTGTGCCCCAGTCCACACGCATCAGACCCTGGGCCTCTGGTGTCCAACTGCCCTCGGCCTGTGTTTGGTCCAAGTTCCGTATCCGGCCCAGGGCCTGCCTCGGTTACATACGAAAAAGGCACCCTGGGCCTGGGCGTTCTCAACAAACTGGCGCTGCGCAACTGCCTGAATTTACCCAGTTGCGCGGTGACCCCCAAAATAGGCCTATTGGCCCTGGGTCGAGCCTGCCTTTACTTAGGTCCGCCGACTGTACATAAAATAGGGCCCAGTAGGGCAGATCGAGGCCCTGAGCCTAGCACTACCACAATGGGAGACCAAAACGGCTGACCGTTCTATTTGGCTGAAGATGGTAATTGGTGCTATTTGGCGGAACCTCTAGTCAAGATACAGTGATAATGCCCGGGTGTTGTATCCGGGGGTGAAGACGGTAGTAGCACCGCCGGATCAGTTGGAAAGTTTGAGCAGTTTGAAAGTTTGTTTCTGTAACTTCATCCCAAATCTTGGCTATGTTTTCCCGGATCAGTCTGATTCTTGCACATAATAAGAAGCAGGATAGCCATCTAAGACTCATCAGAAGCGTCCAAATATGTCCGTGCAGGTGCTGTATGATTTATAATTCCTGAAACGGACTTCTGTCTAATGGGCAGCGTTCGTTGTTCGATGTTCAGCCATTGGTTGTCCCGGAGTGCCAAGTACAACATGACCAAGTGCAGGCTCTTGAATTCAAAAGGAATTATTTTAATGTTGTAATCATGTGATGTGATTCCATGGTATTAATTTTGTTTAGTATAAGCCAGTAGATTTTCAAGTGCTTTGCTCATTACTGTGTAATCAGTGACACCTGATCTGGAGCTGGAAATCTTTTGTATGGTAATGTACCATTGCTGGGTAGCGTAGTCTATTAAACTGCCAGTACGTTTCACATATGTCGGCTCGGGGGCAGTGTTGGAGGGCTGAAATGAAAAACGGTCCACGGATTCGATTTATCGACGGCGCCCTCCCCCGCTCGGCCACCGCGTGACCTGTCGCGTCTCAGATTTCAAGCGGGAAAAGGAACTGGTGGTTTAAGTGTGGTAAGTTATATCTTCTGCTCATTTCTAGTACTCACTGTTGAAAACTCCATGCCCATTCAGTTTGATCTATGTTCAAGTGTCAAGTGTTGCATGGTGGTCAACGATTGTTTCGCCCTTATTTTTCTACGAATCTTTACTTTCCTGAATCCTGAGTAGTTTTTTTCTACGAATCTTTACTTTCCTGAATCCTGAGTAGGTTTCTTCTCACCACCACCTGCGCTTGTAAAATTCTTGCGCTTGAAATAAATATTTTGCGTGCAAGACAAAATTAAACAGAAACTACGGCGCAGTCAGTGTTTCAGTTTGAAAATGCACTTCAGGCAAACAAGGCCTGAAAATGTTGAGGGTGCGTTCACGATGGCGGGTGTTATGTTTGAAGGAATGCTTGAAGCGCATCAAACTCTTTTGGTGGGTGTGCAATAGTTGCCCTTCTTTTGAAAGGGGAAACTAAGCAGGAGTCACAAAAAAGAGTTATAATTGCACTATGAGCCAAGATACAGTTTCGAATTGCAGTTCGGGTGATGTATACCACCCAAAGTGCAATTGCGAACTGTGTCTTGCCCCATAGGGCCATAGTGCCAATATAACTCTTTTTTGTGACTCCCGCACACTTACCCCCTTTTCAAATTTGGTGCTGATAACTTAGTGTTAAGGCATACGGCCTCCAATCAAGGAACCCAAGCATCTGGAAGGGTCAAAAGGGGCAACAAAATCATCTTTGTTCAATTTGGTTTTGAGGGCCAAATATCTCAAATGTAAAGAAAACTCAGAAAGCTTAGGGAATTGAAGCCAAGTCTCCCCAGTGTCCCCACACCATGCTCTAATTCACAGAATGTCAGAAGGTAGATACTTGCTCTGGAAGTGCTAAGTAGGGATGACAGCCCGGACTCCTAGGGCAATCCTGCACTTCCGTTACCAAAGAGGACATGCCATCTCCATGCTGATGACTTCAAACATGGGGAGTCGAAAGGACCAAAAAGATCCATCCTTTAGCCACCAGTACTTGGCCGGGTTGGCCCAGCTGAAGAAAAAAAATACGCTTATGGGCGCGTTCTTACGGGGTCAGCCAAGTGAATGCCCCGTCGCTGGTAAACAGCCCAGCACACAGAAGTATTTTTCAAAAAAAGAAAAAACAAATGCATGCCTGCATGGACGAGAGAGAGAGAGAGAGAGAGAGAGAGAGAGAGAGAGAGAGAGAGAGAGAGAGAGAGAGAGAGAGAAGAGAAGAGGGGAGGGGGAGGGCGAGGTGGTATGAGACAGCCAAGAAGCACGAGACGTCGGAACTGAGTCGAAGTCCAATTCTCACGAACGCCATCAGTTAAGGCGATACAAGAATGCCGGTTGTAGCGAATAGGCTTGAATCCGCTTGATACTCCCTCAACCCTTCACATGATAGCTATGAATAGTCTATATTAATTAGACTTGAAGAGCAATTGGCAGGAACGGCAATGTTGACCCAGGACGTATCTGACCAGAAATTGGTGACCAAATTCAGCAGTCAAGAATCTTGTAGTGTGCCCTTACGAGTTCAAGCCCCCCTACGACGAAGCCGGAATAGGGAAAAAAAACAACAACAAGTTCCGACAGGTCCCTCAACGGCCGTAGTAAAAAAGACTGCCAACTTCACGCGGCAGTTTGTAATAAGGTGGCCGTGGTGTGCAGAGGGCCTGAAAGAGACAAACGGCAATAAAAAATTGACCCTGTTTTTGCCTTTTTTGCCGAGTCTGGACTCCGCCCTGGCCAAGCTAAGAATGTGACACGCGGTCAGTTTTCCCTTCTTATTTTTATTTTTACCTGACTACGATGGGTTTCAGTGAAGAATAAAAAAAACAAAAAGAGAGATGACTGCATCCCAGGGGACATCAATCTACTGCAAAAGGGCAGGGGGAGAGGACGACGAGGAGAAGGAGAGGAGGCGCTTGTCTGTCCCATACCACCGTCTTGCTCCCTTCCTCCTCCTCCTCCTCCTCCTCCCTGTCTTCCTGCATTCCTACTCTCCCTCCTCCTTACAATTGCCTCCCCCTCCTCCCCGTTCTATCTTCTTCTCCTCCATACCGATTCCATTAACGTCTTCCCACCATCTGCATGCCATGCACGCTGTTCTACGAGCGGACAAAGCACAAGCAGAGCAAGCGAAGGACGAAAGCATTAAAAGAAGAGGAGGATCTCCCTCTCCTCCCCTTCTCCTGGTATGCACTGAATGACTGGTGGATGGATGACTATTGTCCCGGTCATAATCTTCTCCGCGCCTCTCACTTAATTCAAGGAAGAGATCTTGCGCTAAAAAAAAAACCTTGCTTGCGTGACAAGCCAAAGTGACTTATGAGACTTCAGCGACGTGACTTGTGAGACTTGGAAGAAACTCCCTGATCTCTCCTATCTGATCCTCATCATGTTCATGGGCTTGTGTTGATGATGATACAGTCCATCCCCTTCCAATTGGTGTTGTCGGTGTATGTAGCCTGAGTGATTTCGATTCTGACGCACTGACCGTAAACCGGCTCGTGCCGGTTTCTTCTGCAGACATGGCTTCCTGAGGTGTAGAAGTTTTGACCGCACCGGTCATTATTCCAATTTCCACCCGAGCAAGGACCATAGGCGCACAGCCCAGAGTTAAGGAAACTTGTCGTTTTCTCCACACTGCAACACAAAAGAATCATCCGGGAAGGGAGGGGAGAAAAGAAAAGCAAAAGAAAAAAAAACAGGCACACGTCAGGATCCCACTTCCTAGTACTCCAAAACCTAATTCAAGCGCAATGACAATCTCGGATGGGCCAAGTCCTACTACCCGTAGTTTGGGTTATTAGAATTTGTGCTGTTGGGAGGCCTGAAAATCCTGAAATTTGGATGACGTGTTTCATGCCAAAATTGCCTGAAAATGCACTTTTGGGTTGCTGTTTTATGTGTTTTTTTTTTTTTTTGTTTTTTTTTTGTTTTTTAAATATGTTAGTAAGAAGTGCACTCTATACATTGGTGTGGAGTTTGCTTGAAATGGCCTTATGGTTTTCTTATAAATTGACCTGAAAAATGGGGGGTAGGTTAACCTTCTCTCACCCGTAGTATGCTTGATCTTACTCACCGCACTATCTGGATGTGTTTGAGCCCATGCAGGGCTGCGCCAAGCTCAATTATGCTGTTTCTGCACATCTCCACAAACACGTCCTCATTCAGGCGTTGATGAAACTCAACGCTGCTAGTTGGAAAATGCAGTTTCTGTAGAAAAGGAACAGTGGGGGGGCATTTTTTATTCTTTTTTTTTCCCCCCTTTCCCCGTCAGACACCACGGCCTATCCCTGTAGTTATGATGCCCTGCGTGACACCACTGCCGCTGTACTTTCATAGCATTTTTTAACTCGGTGGCTGGTTTCTTTGCAGCTGGGTGTTTTTTTCCAGGCACATCGGAAACTCTGGGTTGACATAGACACATGAAAATTTTCAAGAGTACTGTCTACCGATGTCAGACTCCTGGATTAGCATCAAGTGCTGTCGTCTCTGCACTTACTCCGGACTCTCTACTCTCGTGAGCATTCTTGACTGTCGGACAGACACTACACGACAGGGCAGCGACGATTTGTCCGGTAAGAATGGAGGCCAACTCTCGAATTTGCAAACCGCAAGAAGGGTCCGGTCGGCAGGAACTGTGGAAGCTTCAAGAGCACTACTCGAAAACAAGAGCTGCAGTACTCTTGAATCTTGAGAAATCAAGAGTTCATCACCCCTGCACTAAGTCTTGATGCAGCGTCCTCAATATCCATTCAAGAGCTGTCAGATTCACTTTTGAAAACGTAGAGAGTGAGTCATCGCTGCACTAACTGTGGAAAAGTGCTCTTGGTCCGGTGTTTCAAGAGGTGTGAGAAACGGCCTATTGGACTAGCTCTTGAAGCTTCCACAGTTCCCCTTGTCGACCAGACCCCTCTTGCCGAATCTTGTGGTTCGCAAATTTGAGAGTTGGCCTCCAGTCGTGTAGTGTCTGTCCAACACTCAAGAATGCTCACGAGAGTAGGGAGTCCCGAGTAAGTGCAGCTATGACAGCACTTGATGCTAATCTAGGAGTCTGACAGCGCTAGACGTACTCTTGAAATTCTTCATGTGTAGAGCGTAGTGCAGCGAGGCCCAATGAGTGGGTGAAACTCCGACAAAACAGTTTGTCACAGCGCCTCGTTTGTTGTCCTCTTCTCTCTATATGCCAACGGTTTAACCGGCAGCTCTGTTTGACTACATATATACATACATATGACATTGTATGTATATATATACATATATACAAAAGAGGTGCAACAGGGATCGGTAAGGGCATACTTTCACTAGGCCCTCAAGATTGCAAAACGCGAAATGACCGGCCAGATTGAGTCATTGAGTCCTTGTGAACGAACGACTTGATCTGGCAGCTCATTTTGCTATTTTGTGATTTTGAGGGCCTACAGTGAGTGTACTCTTGCAGGAAGCTTCTTCTTTTTGTTTTTTTTCTAAGAAAGAAAATTCAATTTGGAGTTTAAATTTACTTTGAAGACCGAAAAATGCTGAATGATCGGCAAAACCAGTGTCCTTATGAGGATGAATGAGCAAAGTACACCGGTTCAGCTGGCATTCATCGGGGCACACGGACACATTAGACCAAATGCAATATTTTTTTGATTCAAAATCCGACTACATTCAACGTTCAGCCCCGAGACCCCACGGGCCCGAAAGTGTACCTTCCTCACAACGACAGATCC